GGATGCAGAACTCAAATTCTAGTAAGAAGACCAGACTTAATGGTCTGACTGAGACTGGAGGGACCCTGGAAAGCATGGCCTTCAGATTCTCCATCAGCCTAGAACTAAAACAATTTCCGAGGCCAACTCTTCAGACAGGGACTGGACTGGACTGTGGGACATAAAGGAATACTCGTGAGGAGTGTACCTCTTAGCTCAAGTAGATACAAGAGACTAAACGGGCAGCTTCTGTCTGGAGATGAAATGGGAACGCAGAGAGGGTTAGGAGCTGGTTGAGTGGACATGGGGAGTCGGGTGGAAAGAAGGAGTGTGCTGTCACAGTATGGGGAAAGTAATTGGGGTCATATAACTATAAATTTTTGTATGGGAGACTAACTTGAAATGTAAACATCTATAACAATTTTTTAAAAAGATAAAAAAGGGTTCTGTAGTCAAATAATTTTGGAAATACTGTTTTAAAAGTAAACTGGCTTCAATCACTGCCCTGGAGGTGTAATTCTCGAACTTGAGTGTGCATCAGAATCACAACACAGATTGCTGTCCGTCCCCACTCCCCCCACCCCCAGCTTCTGATTGTGCAGGTCTAGGGTGTGCCTGAGAACTTGCTGATGCTGCTGGTTGGGGCAACACTTAAGAGAACCGCTGCCTTTGAGAGGGACTAGTGAGCTTATGCATATGAAACACTGACGTGCCTAGCACAATGGAAGCCCTCAATGAATGTCAGTTACTCTTTCTTAGTTCACTGCTGTGGTTCCAGGGAGTTACCCTGGCACCCATCTGAGCCCAGGTTTAGACAGCTCTGCCACCTACTAGTTTTTGCCCAGAAATGAATCTCTTTTTTGCCAGCTTGGCGTAGGCCATATTCCCAGCTGCTGCCAGGCCTCTTTTTTTCCATCAGCCTCTACACTAGTGTGGTCCCTACTTTCAGAAGCAGTCATAGTATTTTGAAGATCTGTGGTATTACCCCTTATCAGCCCTGACACTGCAAAATGTCACCTGGGAAGAAGTACAGTCCACTTGCCAGCCCACAGCTCTTCCCAGTCAGCTCCCTTAGAGGAAGTGTTTGCCTGTCAACAGAGAGAGAGAGATGCTTAAGTTTAGGGTGTGTGTGTATGTGAGAGAGAGATGCTTAAGTTTAGGGTGCATATCCTTCAGAGGACTGCAGGAGCTTAGAAAGGAGCTTAGAATTCAGTCCCAACCCACTGCCATCTGGTAGATTCCAACTCATAGCAACCCTGTAGGACAGAGTAGAACTGCGCTATAGGGTTTCCAAGGCTGTAAATCTTTACGGAAGCAGACGGCCACATCTTTCTCCAGCAAATTCAGTCCTAGCCGCTGCTTTTCAGAAGCCAAGAGAGATGTGACTGAGAACATGGAATTGATTGATTACAGAGCTACTACGTTGTCCTGTGCTTTTTTGTTGTGTGTGTGTGTATTTTTTAATGAGTTTCTCTCACAAAACAAAGAAGGTCATTATCCGCTTTATCCTCTCCCTGTCCTCACACCTAGCAGAATGTTAGGCATATGGTAAAACTGATGCGAGATGAGGTAGGCAGAGAGTAGAACACTTGAAGAATTGCTTTTTAAATGCCTGATTTCCAGTGCCAAATGCAGAATAGGGTGGGTTAGTAAGTGGGAAGTGGGAAGGGCTGGGGATACTGTTTCTTGGCCATGTCTCAGATCAGACAAAGGATCAACAAGTATGATTTTAGTTTCTGTATCAGTACAGAAGCCCTCTCTAATGTCTCCAATCTGTTTTGCGTCTGGCAAAGCAGCAAAACCCCATTTCACTATGGGGCCAGGGGGATTTAAAAGAAAAATCCTCCCTTTTTATAGCTTCTGCCCACAGCCCTGAGACCTGTTCCTTGCTGGAGCAGAGGGCCTTGGGAATTTTGGAGAGCTACAATGTGTTAGCCATTTTGTACCCAGAGCTGAATATTTGATTAAACATTTTGCTACCCGATGGAGAAGAGGCTATCCAAGCACGCACGCCATCAGCTGTTCCCAGTAATGCACACCCCAGGGAGGAGTTACTTGGCCCTGTTTTCTTTACATAGAAGATTGCAGGAAATGCCTCTCAGCGCCTACGCTTTTCCTTTAGATTCTGTATAGCTGTTTCTGGGGTATGGCCATGCCTTCTCCCTCCACTCTGATCAAGTGAGAGTATAGAGAAATTTTTCCTCACTATCATGGCTACAGCCAGGACAGCTTAGAAACCAGATTGCAGATCCCAGGCACAGGGGAAGAACCAAACCGCAGAGGACGAGGTAGCTCAGGCTGGGCCTGGGCCCGAGTTTTGGTGCAGTGCCCAGTGCCTTTATATTTATTTAAAGAGGAGGACTGCTTGGTAACCAGGCAGCTGAGACCTTCGTGAGCTGCACAGCTCTGGGTCTGCCTGACTGCACAGGAATGATCTGGGTGTTACTTCCAATGGCTGTGGCCCAGCTGTCGCCGGGATGGAGGTGGGGAAAGCGCTTCCTAGCTAGGAGTTTCTGAGTTTTGAGCCAAGCCCTTAAACTGCTAGGACTGTAAGGAACAGAAATTCCAGGAATCCTCTTATTTTTTTCTTTTCTCAGCACCCAGGCATCTACCAGCATCACAATGCCTCCCTTACCTATGAAAAGGCAGTGTAGCATACTGTTTAAGAGAGAAGGTTTTGACTGCTTGGATTCAAATCCTAGCTTTTCTGCTTGTTACCTACCTGACTTGAGCAAGAGACCTATCCTCTGTGTCAGGGTGCTCGTTTGTAAAATGGGGAAATAATATCTACTTAATAAGATTATTGCAAAGATAAAAACAAAAAAGGTAATACACATGAAGTGTTTAGAATAGTGCCTGGTATACATGCTGGACTATTAGGCAAAACGTTGAACCCACCCAGAGGCGCCTCGAAGACAGGCCTGGCATCTGCTTCTGAAAACCCTACGGAGCAGTTCTGTTCTGCACACATGGGGTTGCCATGAGTGGGAATCGACCAGATGTCAACCAACAACACATTAGGAAGGTTCAACTAACTGTGGCAGAAAGAACCTTAGTGTCTTGTTTATAAAATAAGACGAATACATCCTACTTCATTGGTGACCTGAGAGAAAGCTTTTGCTGTTAAGAACGTAAACTATTGGTGCTTCAAATCCCAGAATAACAGGCTTATACCCTAGTAACCTAGCCAGCTGACTTTATTTTTTATGATCTGGATTTGTCCTTTTCTTCTTACCATCTCCTCCTCAAATCCAGAGCTCAATATCATCGCGGTTTCTTGACCCCAGCCCCCATCAGAGTAGGCCTGGGGGAAGAGCAGGCTGATCTGGGTCCCCTGCCCCAGCCTTGTCCTAGGGAAAGTGGGTATGAAGAGAAGCATATAGGTGATCTCACCCTTTGGGACTGGGCGTTTTTCTGGCTGGGGTGCAGCATCCCCAGCCACACTGCAGCGATGGCCCCTGCCCCGCCCTTCGCTGCAGTCCTAGAAGGGCTCCCAGCGGCAGAGGGGTGGGGTGCAGAAGATTCTCTGCAGGGTGGGGAGGGATAGGATTGGAGGATCTTTGCTGCGGGGAGGGAGGTGCGGCTGGCGCATCTCGGGCGGACGAGGCGGACGCAGTGACTCCACTGCACCATCAACCCCCACCCCTTGCGCACGCCCTATTTCTCCATCCGCTCGCTTCCCTCCCCTCCCTCGTGTCTTCCCCAGCATCGCTGCTTCGGCTCCTTCCGGGAACGCTCGGCCCTTACCACCAGGCGACAGCAAGGCGAGTCTGCGGGAGCTCCGCCCCCTTTGCTCTGCAGGCACTCTCCCCCGCCCGTCGCGCTGCGCCTGGGCGCTTCCTCCCGCGCTCGTGCGCGCCCGCTGCCGGAACGCGCGTGGCCGCCTATAAAAGAGGCAGGGCGCGCGCACCACCACTACCCGCTGCGGAGCGAACGGCGAGGGACGGAGGCCGCGGAGCCGCCTCGATCCCTCTGCAGCCCCTCAGCCCGACGCATATACTCCCCTCACCCCCAGGAGCTGGTGAGAACGGTGTGGGGAGCTTAGAGCCGGAGCGAGGCCCGAGGGCAGCCGACCCCTAGTCGGAGAGCCGGGCCACAGGGAAGG